ATGTTGCGTTGATGATGTTGTCTCACAATCTGATAGTCTTGTCTGCAATAGTATATTAGAAAAAGGGTAGGATGCCATTTGGTTATCTTATGAAGTGCCTACTTTAATCGCTGTTGTAGTCACATTTCAAACTTTTTTTATACTGTAACATTCTTATTTTACGCGGCCTCACTACTACGTACCACGTACTCACTAATACGTGGAAACTTCATTTCTGGCCTATTCGGAATGTGCATAACTACTGCGCTGCTCTCAATACTGTACCTATATATATGTTCTTCCTTGCTTCAAGACATACCTAGATAGACTCTTGTTATCAGCAAGCAGATATGGTGGTCTACCCATAGCAAAGCGTAGTGGCTAAGGCACCGTCCGAAGTACCCGGGTTTTCGTGTCGTCGCTAGCCTTTGGCAAGTAAAAGTGTCTAACTAATTCGCGATTAGTGAGGTCGTAACAATAAGAATATTGCTACCAAGTTCTACCTACTATATTGTAAGTTGCTATTTCTTTAAATTTCCTAACATACTGCGTCGATTGTTTCAACGGAACATGTCCTGTTGTGTTCGGGTCTTGAATGATATAAAAAAAGAGTTGTATCCAAACATGTTATTTACCTAAAGTTCATAAAATTATCCTTGTTAGAGTTCAAATATCATAGGAGAAAGTAATTTTTGAAATTTGTACAAAATGTTTAGCTATTTATCGTAATATGACAGACTAATACTACGTCATGCAAAACTTATCATATCTAAAGCGTATAAATTAAAGCCAATAAAATAACTTGTAATAAATACATAGGAGTATCGATTTTACTAATTTATTGCACATGTAAAAAATATGGTAATTACTGAAATGGAACTTACATATTGTAATTGGAAATTTTGTATGTTAATTTGTGTGTATTTATTAATTTCATAGCGATTATTTGAAGGAATGTTGATGGTAATACAGGAGCACGTGATTTCGAAGATTTTTTTATACAGGATTTTCTTTACTAGATAATCTTCCAACTATGAATTAACCACGCTTATTTGTTTTGAGATAAAAGGTAGTCTCTGTTTGTTCTCGTTTTATAATCTATACTTCCCTCACATTAGAATCATCCTTTTACCCGTTTAACAGTCAAAAGGTAACAAATAGACAGCTAGCCACGCATTCGCGTTTCTAATTAAATTCATAATAAGATAGTATTAGTATGAATTTCTACTATTAACCTTTCCTTTTTTTGCTTAAAGTAAGATAAGGGGTTATTCACGCAACTGCGAATTGATTTTGTGACGAACCATATCATATTTAGTGAGTACCATACACATATTTAGCTGTTTTGGAAAAAATGCATCTAATGGACATTTAGACTTATCGTTTTTATACGAAACACCCATACCTATGTACATACTTCAATACTATTATTATAAACGTAAAAGTTTGTCTGTTATCGCTTCACTTGTAAACACCTAAACGGATCTCAATTAAATTTGAATTGAATATATTGTAGATTGTATCACGAGAATTGTCATAAGCTATCTTTTATCTTAAAAAATAACTTAAAGAGAGTTAAAATATGAAAGTTTGTTATTTATAGTTACATTAGAATTTTTCAATGACTGATACGGTTATATTTGTGCGAACGGGCCGTAATGTAAGTTGCTACTGAACAATAAAACAGTCACTGCCGATTCATTTATTTGTATTCGTACATTAATTATATTATAATAAAAACCTCAGATATTGCTATTTTATATTAGTTAGTTAGATTTTTATATACTTTGAAAAATTTTTTATTAATAAAGGTAGTGGTTGTGGGGGTCAGACGTTGCCATTTTTATATAAATTCCATTAACATAAATGAATAAATTACATATAAACAATCTTATGAAGTTATGTAACGATTTATGTTTCTATACGGCACTATTAAATAGATTTTGTACTTGTTTAGCCATAGATTTTGTATTTTAATTGTACGAATTAAAGCTAATTTATATTATATCACTGACCAGCTCTCCAAATCCCAAATTAGCTACTTATAACCACTTAATTACTTTTTACTAATTAATTGGTTAACCTAACGACTCTTCTAATGAAGTATGCTGGGCGAAATTGATTTCTGAATGTATAAAACACAGAGTATAAGAACAATAACTAAAGCTATTGTAGTTAGTATGTAAAAGCTATGTTATTTACTTTTACAGCCATATTACAATTAAATGTATTAAATTAAAAGACTCAGGAATCGAGTTCTTTTCTCCACTTGTGAATGCTTTAAGTGACTGTCACTCTATAATAAAACACATTTTATATTATAATTCTTTTATTTTATAACATTACAGCCTTTATTTCCTTACTCAAGATGCGTGGACAGATGATATGAAAGTAAACAACAGGGAGTAAACAGATTATTATTCACCTGCTAATGACCTACATTGGACATGACACTTGCAAAAGATCAATTAGGTACAGGACTTGCATCCGCTCATACATAAAGCGGTTGAAAAAACTGAAATGGCGAACTTACACACGACATTAAAATCTCGTTAATCTAGAGGGGCGCGCCCTTCAATCGATCCCTCGTCCAATTCAACGTCGAGCCGAGATTGGGACCCCTAGCGGTGCCCTCAGACTGAAGTCGTATCCGTCAGCCGGGAGTTGGCCTACAACCGCTCCATAAGTCCTCCCGCTTGTTTCGAGTACCACCTGCACTCTTCTCTTACCGTTGAAGATGTAAATGCCAGCTGCGGCCAACAGCATTAGAGTAGTCTGGAAAAAAAATGTAGATCGCCTCCTCTGTAACAAAATCAGGGCTGATTTTTAATTAAAAGTTTACCCGTGGGTCGATTTTACCCTACTGCAAATGTTCTAATATTTCCTCCGAGTAGTGTCGTGTGTAAACTGTTTTAAAGTAGGCACCTACTATCCCTTACCGTCGGTATTTTGTAGAGATGGTGTATTTACTGGGTCAAACGGGTCCATTTGTATAGTAATCATGCGTGGTTGCACAGCGTGACTCTTCCACGAGTAGGTAATACATCGTACGTATAGTATCACACTGTAAACTGAACGGAGAAGGTGATAGAGTCTGATATTGTCAGTTTTGTGATGCTACTCATAACATATTTTATTAAATTGGTATGCGTATTAAATACCTAGTAGTAATTATTAGATCAAGGATTTGTGATTTGTATTATTGGAACACAATGTATAAGTATTATTGGAAGTCGTCCAAAATAGGTACCTATATGATTCACTCATCCTATCTGTTATCAGTTGAGAAGTTAGGTATCATTTGCTATTAAGAATTATATTATCAGACAGTTTATTTTAAGAAAAATCATCACTACAGAACTAATAAAATAATATTTATGTTACACGACTTTTCCTTAATTTTAAACGGATTTATGATTTTTTTCAAATTAAAATTTCTAACTAATATTCACTTAGATACTACCATTTTGAAAATTACTTCAAATAATAATTAATATAATTATTTAATACTTTTATTTGAATTAGTATTTAATATACTAGTCCCAAAAACACATCTGGTTCATTGCCAACAACGTTACATTTCTATACACTAAAGTATATATAATTCATAATCAACAACTACCATATTTCATATCTGAAGTATTGAAATTTTAAACAGCTTCATGCGATCTAAAAGTGTACGGAAAAATCCAAATTCCTAAGTACACAAAAATTAAATTCATAAACATTCTTTCATTTTTATACAACAAAACGAAATACTTCTTTTATAAACATTCTTGGGTAAGCCTTTAAATGAAATATGTATCATAACGTCGAAAAGACAGACAGACGCTATAACTATTTTTAGTTATACAGATATATGAATAAAAAAAATTCACAGTAGCTACAATTAATTACTAATTATTTATCTGAACAAAACATTGTTAAAAAACGGATTTTTATTATATTTTATGCAAAGGGTAAACAAGCTGTCGCCCTATCTGATAGTCAGTGGTACCCGTCACCTATAAATAAATATAAACAGTACTATACACATCACATTAGTATATTATGTTAAACACAATACCATGGATGCGTTGCCATTCCGGAGAACAGAATCTCATGCCCCTTATCCTGTAGTTTCACTGCCTTAACTAACCCTACATCCGAAATAGAGCTTACAGGCTACTTGTCGGTTGAATTAGGTAGACAGACTTTTCTTTTTCTACCACCTGTAGCTATTTCATACATTGGTATGAGATTGTTTAAAAAAATATATTCAAATATTTTTGAATATCTTTAATAGATATCATGATATTTTTAATATCTATGAATACAGTAGGTATATCTAGTGTACCCACCTGCGCTAAGGGTATATGCTGGCGGGGCACCTGTAGAGGATTATAGAATGGTAATGAAGTCAGGTCAATTAACCCATTGTGACAAAAATAAACCTACGTTCTAAATTTTAGCATACCAGATTTTGTTATGTTAGCTTTGTCTTGTTGTGTTATTTTGTAATGCTACTTTATCTCTTTTTAAAATATCGCCTATGCCCATTTTAAGTTACAATTTATCTCCGGTTTTCATTACGATTTGTCCATGATTTCGCCGTAAAAACATAACAAAGAGACAGAAATACTTTCGCATTATTTATAGTAGTTTGCATAGATATAGAGTTACAGACAATATTGAGTTAACCCAAAGAAAGTATATTGACGACCTTAACGGTTTCGATGTGGTGTTAATTATAGATCGGGATCGGGTTGTAGCTAACCAGACTATTATAATAATCTTTAAAAGCTGCCCAGTTTATGAATTAAACTGGAGCGCGAGAGCATGTCGGTGGCGTCTGAATAGGCGGCATTGACAGCGAGAGAGCATCGATCTCGATCACATCGATCATCTGATATCACTTCTGTCATTACCGTCGGACGACGAACGATTCGTTTCGCGATCTGATACAAACAGTGGACACGCAATGTGTGGGAGCGTGACGGGTGGCGGTCCCAGTATCCGTCACGATTACGATGGCGGATCGGAATCCTGGATTTTTGGCACCGAAAATAGTCGGGCGGGCGCGCGGTGGAACCGCTAGGGCGGCAGCGCAGTGCGTGTCGCTCCGCCGTGTGAACAGCCCGCTCGTGAGGTGAGTGCAGCGCCCGCGCACCCCCGCTCACCCTCGCACGCCATCAGTTTGGATACTCGACCGGACCGCCGTCGCAGGACCCCAAACTCCTCAACGTCAACAAGCCGGAAGCTGTTTGTGACGGTGATAGTTTGTGACAGTGGCATCTTGTGTGGAGTATCCAAGCTTCTGGATGTTCTCCCTCAGTTACATATTTGGTGATATCATTCTGTAGTAACATAACGGTCGGCTTTAACAATAGGAGTTAAACATCTGATTTAAACTGTTTCGGTTAAATCCTTTTTATTTTGCATCTTTAGAATTGCAAAGTGAAATGTTCTACTATCGTTAGTCAAGGACGCAGAAGATGAAAATTGCATTCTGTTCTCGCCCGCGTTTTTCACAGTTGTGACTCGAATTTCAATGCGAGAACGGCCTCGCTGAAAATAGTGATCCCCGCCCGCGGCGGCCGGCGCCCACGCCCGCGTGCGCCCGCGCCGCTCTGCTTGTAACCTATTTGCGGCATGCTCGCTCCAACATCAGTATTTATTTAGCAAGATGAGGAAATTCGGTTCAACTTTTATTTAGACACAGACATGTCCCATATATCATGTAATTAGGGCGCCATAGTAACACCACACCGGATACTTACACGTATTATTGTTTCATTATTACGATTGTTTCTTCTCTTTGAAAATATGAACAACTAACAAACAATACTGAACTTGAAATATTTTTTAAACCTACTTACCTATTTAGATGAACGTCTACAGTGTTACATATACATAGAAAGTACAGAAAAATTGTTGTTAATATTTTATTTCATTACAAACTGGTAGTAGGGAATAAAATATTATAAGCTGGTACCTATGTTTTCTTCTATCTTTCTTCATACTGGATGTTGTTAATATGATAGCTTTAAATGGTAAGGCATATTAGTCCTACCTAAGTACATATGTCTATTCACCGGATATGTTTTAAATAATTTCTTTGCCATTTCAGTGAAATTTAAAAAATAAAAGTTATTAAATCATCCTGGCAATAAAAATAAATATACATGAATGGCAAAAAATTGCTCTATATAAACAATATCTATAATCCGTCTTAATTTTTAAATATTTTCTCTAAGGAATAACAGTTGAGTTTCTGTCAGTTTTGAACTCAATATGAGTTAATAAATATATATATATATATAATAAAAATTACCCTGCTTAAGTGGTTAAAATATCGTATGAATCGAAGTAGCTTTAAATAGAGTATCAATTTCATTTTATGTGTTAATTTTAACACTACAATGCCATTACAAATAAAGTAAGAAGAATAAATCAAATAAGTTAATTACATTTCAGTTATCCTTTAAAACACATTACTGTTTCAGAATATTATTCGCTGTAAAGATAGGAAATACGTATTATTATTTAGTTATACAGGATTGTAGTGTTACAAGTGCTTAAGTTATTAAGAGTAACCGAATGCCTCGGCGACAGTCATGTTTGGTTGAGTTGAGAATGTTGGCAACGGTTCAAAGGCGTAGTTTGCGCGGTTGGAGTCTATCGGACAAATATATTATGTTGACCAAATTTCTAAATGAATTGCAATGCATTATTCTACAGGATCTAGTGTTTATGATATGTATAAAATACTAGCTGTGCCCGCGACTTCGTGCGCGTAAAATAGTGACCTTGAACAAATAATGAAAAATACTTAGTAATCTAAGCCAACAATAGCAAAATAAAAAAGTTTTAGTGTTCTATCTTCAAAAATGTTGAATTTACATACAGAAATCCATACAACTCAATCAACAGCCTAAAAAAATAAGTTTAAGTTTCTAGCTATGAAAATTTCAATACTTTCATACAATATTTCATTTACTTTTCAGTCCCTTAAAATCCTTTACCTTTATTTATTATGGGACACAGTTACCTAGATACATCAAAATAATAATTGCATTTAATAATGGCTAGTAAGACAAATTCAATATTATCTACTAAGCACTGCTGTGTCTAAACTGAGTTACCCCACCTTACATTTTCCTACTGTTATTTAATATATAAGATCATTATTTCTATGTACATATTGTCAGTTTATTATCATCTGTAATATACGTATGTATATGTATATCGTATTATTAACCCGCAACAGTGGTGACCATGGTTCCATAGTGATGCGTTTAATCAAAGCCTAAAAAATATGAAACTTATTTTTTAATGAAGTTTCTAGCTATAAAAATGTCTATATTTCTTTACAACCGTTCATCTTCCTTATTAACCCTTTAAACCGTAATTCATTAAAAAGTAACCTATGTGCTTTCTCAGGGTTTAGACTGTGTAACAAATTTAATTTCAATTAGTTCAGTAGTTTTCATTAATACAATAAAATATTAATATAATAACTTTGACATTTATATTATTAATATATTAGTAGGTCTATATATGTGTGTAGCGATGATTGATACACATGTAGGACATATATATTTACTATACCAAATAAGCAAAGTAATAATGATATATAGGTACAATTCTTATCTAGAAATGCGATCACTGATATTAAATGTTGTTCACAACGATACATCACGATAAACCTACTCATACAATAATCAAGAAAATTTGATTTTTATCATAAAGTAAATTAGTATACTAGTTTCTATACTTAATAATAATAAATTTAGACAATTGTTGTATTTATATACAAGTCGCGCTTGACCTCGGGATATGGAGAAAATAAAAGGAATATATAAAAATAATTATACTCACTAACCAACTAACTAACATAACCACAGATGCACAACCTAAATGGGTGAGCTTAGAAATATAAAACTTTTACTTATATTATTTCAATATGAGTAAAAGTTTTGTATGAAGACTAGAAGAAAACTCGTGCAAACTATTAGAATAAAATTTCACGTAATCTATTAAAACAATCGCGTTGTAATTTAAGAAAATAAGTTATTCCAGGGCTTTGTCATGGCTGGTACAGCGCCTCCTACTGAATCCTTGAATAAGTTAGGGACAGGCTTATTCAGCGCGTTAGTCTAAAGTAGTCAAAATGGTTTTTAATTGTATAAGAATAGGCCATATTTTTATGTAATTCAAATGGCAAACAAAACTGATGATTCTTCTGAGGATAAGTGGTAACGGTCGCGTTTATACATGACAGCATCTTAGACATCACGTCTTCACGTGACGCTAGTAGTAACCCCGTTGCGGTGACATTTGGAAAGAATGCAATATAGGGCCCTGTAACTTCACTGTCCTTCAACTTGAACATATCTTGTAAAGCAAGCCTCGTGAAGGCCGACATAACCAAAACAGATGTATTCACCACTTTCTACAAAGTCTATCGCAGTAACATTAGTTAATGTCGATAACAAACAATTGTACCTATTTATTATCTGTCTAGACTAGCTGAACGGATGTTAAAGAAATTTAAAGGGAAGACAGATTGTATCATAAGGACGAATACATCATTTATCCCAAAATCAGGCAAAGTCGAGAGTAGCATATAGTTTTTTATAAAAAAATTACCTTTATCGAACTGCTACTAAAATACAAGTTGTAATAATTTTATGTTTGTGTATAATATAGCCAACAAGTTGATGACACCTATGGATATGGATGTCACTTCAGACAGCCATTGTTGTAGTAACATACTAATAACACTTAAATAACGCTATAGTGTAATGTAAATAATAATGAAACCCAGAGAGTAAACATCGTGAGTGGTTTATAAGATTTAATTTTTTTTTCTTATTTACGTTTATTTGTTACATATACATTTATATAATAATCTTTAGAATATATGACCACGATTTTGGATGAAAACAATACAAAAATACATATGAATTAAGTAAAAGGCAATGTAGGTTACTGAATACAATTTTAGATACATGAACAGCCTTGTAGGCTGTTTTAAAATTAAAAACTTACAAACATTAATACATCATTAGAAGGTGATCCGCTAACTTCTATATTAATCATGAAAACAAATATAGATAATTTTCGGAACATTATTTTAAATTACGTACGCATAATATATCTAAAGAAAATATTACATTTCTATTCGCATTGCTTACTATTATATAGAATTTAGAATTATATGCTTATCTATCACTGTAAAATGCATGCAATGATATAGTTAGGTGCTATACCTATGTCGTTAATAGTATATTTAACGATAATGCTGTTACAGAAAGTCATGAATGTAAAAGAAAAATTTTAGAATATTCTGCCAAGTCCATTTTTGAAATGGTTTAAATTAAAAATATATTTAAAGGGTCACAGTAGACAGCTGTTCGTCGTTTTAAACTGTGCATGAATGTGAGACTACGTTATTTCTGAAAACAATGTCCGTCTTGACATGACGCCAGGAATAGTTCACCGACGTCATTCACGTTCGTTATTTTTGCAATAGCTTGATGTATAAGCCAGTTTTAAACGGTCCATCGCAGTTTTATATATTATGAGAAAACGTTTACCTAAGCGTGGCGTAAAACTATGTATAAATGTTTATAAAACAGACTTATTTTGGGTGATGCAAATATTGTTTACATTATTAAATTGTATATTTATTATCCATAAAAGTGCAATTGATTTAATCCGTATACTGTTTTACGTATTTAGAAACCTTAGTACATACATCAAATGTCTAGAATTCATGTTTAAATCTTTGAGATTATATAATTTATTATTAAAGTAGGTATTTTCCGCGATTACGCCTATATTTTCAAATAGAAAATAGCTTACATTCGTCCTACTTTAATAATAATTTATAATATATATATTATATATATATTTATAATGTATAATATATAATAACATGTTCTATTTTCACACCAAATTTCAATTATTACATTTTGTATACAAAAATCCCAAAAATAATAAATAGAAAAAAAATCTCTTTTGTCAACAAGGAATAAAATCACCTTGTGAAAATATACTATTAGTAAATGCGTACCTATACGTAATTGTTTTCTTTAAAACTCGTTTCGATAAATAGATACCTTGCAAATACAGTACAATATTTCAAAGCTTTTTTTCAATTATAAATGCCAAAACTTCTATCAATCTGTCTGTCTGTTTCTCTGGTTTTAAACCTGAGGAATTGGAAACTTCTTTGGGAACATTTTGATCAAAATAATTTATATTTTTTTGTAAATACGAGGATAGGCTCTTCGCTTCATGATGAGTAGGTATACAAATAAGTCATTAAACGTAAACAAATATTATATTCTTATTCAAAAGAATTTCTATTTTCAGACTTCGTTATGAGTTTTCTCGGTACACAGATTAATTATGAAATACTAGCTATTACCCGCGATTTTGTCTGCTTATTTTGATAAAGATAGCTTATTACCGACCTTGTCACACACGCTGTATATTTTCGTAAACTTTCCAATGAGATGTATGAATGTAATAAGAATAAATTGCATAAGGCAGTGAAATTACTGGTGATAAGGGCATGGCATCCTAGTCTTCTGGAATGGTAAATGCATGAAAATCAAAGAAGTCACATCCGTATAAAGACAACGGTCATTACTTATAATGAAATAAATGCTGAATGACCAAATCATTCCAATTTAATAAAAAAAGTTCAATAAGATACATTTATCGTTACAAGCTAACAAACTGACAGACAGTCACACTTTTTTATAGTCTTACATGTAAAAAGTAATAATTTTATATTATATACCTCTACCTAGCATTTACTTTTTACATATTACAAAGTAATGAGTACCTACATACATGTTATAGTGCTATACGTACTTATATATAGGGAAATCATATTTAGTAGGTAATGTAAATGTCTTTTTAGTGATGTTTCATGTTGTTTATAGACAACGAAAAAGCTGTTATGTTCTTTATTATTATTTTCCTTTCGAAAACTGAAATAGAACTCTACTTTATGTTCTGCCTCGTCAAATTGGCCATGCTAGGCAATATACTCCAATACTGAAAATAAACACTGTTTTACCATTGTGGCAATTGCGAAGATTATGGTGTGTTTTTGCATTATGTCGACTGATTAGATGGTATTATTAATTTAATAGTGCATCATCGTCGTTTTTGTTAAGGTTAATAATTCAAATTTGGCCATTACAATAAATGTGTTTTATTAATAATAATTTCTGACGGATTCTCCGGCGAAGGAAAGAACCAAGTTATCGAGATACTGCAAATATAGTGCACAATAATTAATATTGCGGCATATACCGCATCACCAGAGATTGGTCGGTTCAGTATGGCATAAATTAGGACCAAATATAATTTTGGACCAATAATTATTTATGCCGGCCACATCTGCCGCGATTGGCTACTTGCCAACGCATATTGCTATGTGATATTTTGTAATAAAGCATCTAAATTCGAAATAGTTACGAGTACCAGTATCATAAGCTGCATCGCGCTATTCTTCTCTTAGAGTTTTTAAGAGTAAATTAAATTTTACTTAGTACTTACATTATACATATGTAGTTTGAAAATTTATTATAACATTGGAAGTTAAAGTAAAAAAGAATTAAAATGTGAGTTTTCTTGTTTACGCAAAGGGATAATATTTGTATTATGTATATTTTGAAGAAATATTCTTTAATATAATGTTTTTAGTTAATTAATTTTAGTTAGTAATTAACATTGATCGCATGACTGGTCTCAGCCTGGATATCTATCCAGATATAAAATATAGGCTACCTGTGTTCGTCTAAAGTACCTTATAGACTAACTACTATCAATTACAACACTGGCAACAGAAATTTGCCACGGTAGCGCCGATATAAAAAAGGGGGTGGCCCTTGGCCAGTAGTCTTGTTTCATGAAGGTGGTCAGGGTAGGGCACTAGGGTATATTAGGAGGGACCTACTTCGATTCCAAAAAGTTTCCAATTGCTTAAAGTTTCCACCTACTACGACTAATAATATAAATAATTTTAAACGTGTTAAAAGATTTATTTCAAATAGCATTTTGTATGAGTGCCAATACAATAATTATGAAACATAAAGTTAGTGATAATTTGAAGAAAACTAGATCACATGTCTCACTATATTAGTATCAAGTTTCATTTTACAGATACGTATAAATGTTGTATACCATGAGTTTACTGTTGGTGTAATCCAGAACTTAAAAATAAATATGCGAACAAATTTGGGTTTCATCAATCATTCATATTCATCGATTTTCACAATATGAAATTAACTAAATTTCAAAATATTGCTATGATAATAATTTTGTAGAGAAACTAACCTAATTCAAGATAAATTTAACTTTTGATAATGACAGATGTGCCAAGTCCGTACCATGGTACCCGATAATCATATAACTAAGTAAAATGTAGGTATGTCATGTGCTAAGTACACCACAGCGTTGATATCACCGACCTGGGAAGGTATGGTATGTGTTATAATAAACAAATATGTTTTTATATACTTACAGGCCAGTAACTGGCGTATTTTTTCGACCGGACCGTAAAGACACAAACCCGCCACCATGGACGCGATCAAGAAGAAGATGCAGGCGATGAAGCTGGAGAAGGACAATGCCATGGACAAGGCTGACACCTGCGAACAGCAGGCTAGGGATGCTAACCTCCGTGCCGAGAAGGTAACCTATATTTGTGATATTTTTGCTATAACAAGCTAACGGACCATGTGGTGGTAATTCGTAAACGTCGCTTATATACAAAAATAGCACTACAGATATCGTCGCCATCATGTGGCGAGATTGTTATTCCAGAGAACTATGATGTGTTTTTTTTAACTAATTTTACTGCTACATGTTATATATACATGGTAGCCTGTAGCATTATCTACGCGGTGAAAAGAGAATATAAATCAATGTAATTTAATAATACGTGTTGTTGACTCTGAAGAGATTTCGAAATTATATACATAATTCTATTTTTACTATAGATTTACGGATTATTAAAAAAACGCCTTTCTTTTTAGGTTAATGAGGAAGTCCGTGAACTCCAGAAGAAGCTCGCGCAGGTGGAAGAGGACCTTACCCTCAACAAGAACAAACTGGACCAGGCCAACAAAGACTTGGAGGAGAAAGAGAAAACCCTCGCTGCCACCGAAGCTGAGGTTGCCTCTCAGAACAGAAAAGTCCAACAGATTGAAGAGGACTTAGAAAAGTCTGAAGAAAGATCTGGCACAGCCCAGCAGAAGCTCCTTGAAGCCCAGCAGTCGGCTGACGAGAATAACCGGTGAGCTCTCTTAGAAATAAAAATCAATCAATGATTGTAATAAAAGAATAATATGTAGAAATAAGATATTTTATAACATAAATAAGTCATTTTGACCTAAGAAGTCTACATTTCGTTGTAAGATCAATGCCGGAACTGATCTTCCAACGAAATATATATGCACTAGTACTTGTATTTGAAGTCATATTATAAATACTGTAATAATAATTTAAAGGGCGGAGTTGGATACTTGTAGAGTTTGCATTAATGTATAGTTTTAATAATTAATTAAGTTTTATAGTTTAGTTCTAAAATTCCCTATTGAAATGCTGCTATTTTTTTTTAATCAAACAAATATGTCAAACGTTCTCATAAATGGAATAGCTAAAAATAGTATTACATTAAAAGAACAGTTAGCTTAGGATGAGAAGCAACAACCCTTTTTGTAAATCAATTGCAAATAATGCCTTTTGTGAAATTTGGTTTCCAAGAATCAGATTTTTATGACGGATACCAAAAAGTTATACATTTTAGTAAAAACGTTATACATTTTATGATATGTTATTATAGATACGTTCAATAAGTCTATATTATTAATATTTTATTCTAATTGTTACCATTAATTAATTAATTGAATAGAATATACCTAAATACTTGTAGAAATATCAGCTGTTATTATTATATTGTATATTTGAAACCAAATTTTCTTTTTGCACCTTTACATATAATATTAACAATAGCATTATATTATAATGTGTTGGACTTACAGATTTTGTTAATATAAATAGATTTTATTTTCTCTAATTTCCAGTATGTGCAAAGTATTAGAGAACAGAGCGCAGCAAGATGAGGAGCGTATGGACCAACTCACAAACCAACTGAAGGAGGCTCGTCTCCTGGCTGAGGATGCCGACGGCAAATCCGATGAAGTTAGTAAAATATCTTTTATATGTGCTCACGACAGATTCCTTAAGAGGTAGGAAGAAAGAGACGCGTGCCAGAGCTGTATTTGTACTCAGCTCTTACCTAACAGAAAGAGCTGTTAAAATAATCCTTATAATTAAAACGTGGGAGAGAAATACAATTTATAAACCCGATGTCGTGGCTTAAAAGTTCTTTAAATATAGTGACAATTTTGCTAGAAATTGATTAGAATTGAATTGTTTGACAGAAATAAACTGAAAATATTAGAACTAGTGGACTGAACCAAATACGGAAATTTACTTTTTAATTAAGCTCTATACCTAAATTAAAAATAAATTTTCTTATTTAATAGGATAATGTAATAATAAAGTAATGTATAACATTTGAAATACGATCATCTTGAACTCTCTTCGAGATAAAATATGCGAGTTCCGCTCTGACTTCGCTAGCATACTGTGAGAAGAATATTTTTAATAATTTTGACTTGTTAGGAAATCTCTTTATTCTTTAATACAAAGAATAGAATAATATTATATAATCAGTGATCATTTGTAATATAAATAAACTTAATTTAAGCACTTTTGAATAGTCATTTTGTAAACAATTTGTATTACAAGTAGATTTTTTATTTATCTACCACTCGTTCTGTCTGAAACTGATTTAAATGTCTCATCACAAGAAGAACGAGCGAAAAAAGGGTTGTAAGGGGTTGAAAATGTGTGTTGCTACACACTTTTAAATAATCCTTGTAAGTTTACATTTACAAGTCGAAACGTGTGAATACTTAAACTATGTCATAAATAAACATATAATGGTTGCGCGCGCAACTGAATTTTTTGGGAATTCAAATATAATCATGCAATAAAAGATTAAATCAGTCGTAGTGATAAGAGCAGACCAGTCATGTAATATTAAAAATGTTGTCAATACAAGCAGCACTCGTTCACGAGTATGACGGATGAGCCAGCCAGAATATTTTTAATAATTTTGACTTGTTAGGAAATTTCTTTATTCTTTATTTCTATACAAATTACATAGAATAATATTATATAATCAGTGATAGCAATTGTAATATAAATTGAGAAGCAGATTCAAAGATTTAGCGATATAAATACAGTCAGAAGAATATGGTGGGAAATTTTGTAAATACGAACTTTTATGTATTACAAGTAGATTTTTAAGTTTACTTATTTATTAATAATATTTATTATATATAAAGTTACATTGTGAAAGCGTACCAAAGAAAGTCTCATTTATGTAATAATGTTAGCTGGTTCCTGAGATTTCATTTCATTTTTAACAAAAGAAGCCTATGACTGTTTTCTTGATACCATCTATCTTCACATTCAATTTCAGTGAGATTAGTTTAGATAATAAATATTAGTATGAGTTAGTTAGTATTTTATAATTGACTAAAATTGAAGCTATATGATACTGTGATGTATAGGTATCACGTAAGCTGGCCTTCGTTGAAGACGAGCTCGAAGTGGCTGAGGACCGTGTCAAGTCTGGTGACGCCAAGATCTCAGAACTTGAGGAAGAATTAAAGGTAATAAAGTTTATCTGATAAAACCTTCATATATTTACTATTTAAAAATGTGTATATTATTATTTATAAACGGAATAGCAAACAAGCTATGCCAGGATGGCCATCCAACCGGATCCGGAAAGCTTATCTTTGTTCACAAGAAAGACTTGAAATAAAACTATGAGAATCAAAACCAGATGATTGATTTTGATTACTAACTATCATTATTTTATTTCACTGTAATAGTTTACTGTAAAGTAGTATTGATGTTATTTTAAATCCAGAGACGCAAATAACTTGATTGAATTCTATGCAGAAAGTAGTACTGTCATCGAAACACATTGATATTAAAATTTTATCTAAGATATTTTATTCTGTGTTTCTAATACCATAGCTGAGGATTTTTTTATTTTGTGGATGATAATGAAATGGTGCACTCGCCTGCGCTAACGGTTTACGCTGGCGGGGCACCAGTGGAGGATGATAAGATGAACACGAGGTCTGGTTAGTTAGCCCATCGTTACAATTTCACCACGAATTTATCACGATGGTTTCCAGGGGGAATCACGTGGCGGCCAACCTGACATGGTACATTGCTAGTAATGGGTTCATAAGTCCACATTACTAACAATCTCCTTTCCCCCCACAGCCGAGGATTAGGATATTATTCCTTATATATATCGGTATTCTTGAATATGAATACACGAAGCAAGCACTACAACCGCTAAAGTCGCACATGCAAAGTTTTATTACAGCTGAAATTGAAGAAATATTAAATAATATCTTATATTTCAATAGGTTGTAGGTAACTCCTTAAAATCCCTGGAAGTCTCAGAAGAGAAGGCCAACCAGCGCGTTGAAGAATTCAAGAAACAACTGAAGACCCTAACCAGCAAACTGAAGGAGGCTGAGGCTCGCGCTGAGTTCGCTGAGAAGACCGTCAAGAAGTTGCAGAAGGAGGTTGACAGGCTCGAAGGTATGACTTGATGAAACATATTTCTGTTCATAACAATTAATTAAAAATAAACTCTAAAAATAATAAAACTAAGAGAGAAAATATTTTAAATATAAAATAAAATTGGCCTTTAATTTTTCTTATAAAAAAGCTAAATGACATGTAAAATATGTCTTAATTATTAATACCAGCTAACCGTGAAAAGAGAATGTTATGACTTCTCATTAATGTGATAAAGCTTCTTAATAAATAATCTAATGGTACACTCTGCGTTCTTGTCACAGAGGAACAAAAAGATAACAATATAATCTTTAGTAAGTATTTTTAGTGGAGTACAATGTCAAATAAGCTGATGGTACAAGAACAGCACCACGGACATCACGTCGTCAACTGACGTCAGTGGTACCCTTCATGCTTTGTTATTCCCGAGCACTAAGGTATCTTGCCTCTGTACTCTGTAATTTCACAGCACAATCTCCCCCTTCAAACCGTAACATAACTTACAAAGCAAACTGTTTGGTGGCAGAAATAGGTGAGACAAGTACAAGTCTATCTCGGTAAGTTATTATCAAATGACAAAATTTTGCAGACTCATTGTTCAACGAGAAGGAGAAATACAAGGCGATATGCGACGACTTGGACGGCACTTTCGCTGAACTCACAGGATACTAACCGACCCAATATAATGCACTTAGTTTAAGACATTATCGTCCAATACACACGACCTAAAGTCCAATTAGATCTCAACCTACCCGATATGATTCTCGAAATGTCCTTAATGGAAAAACCGTGCATCCGTCATATTAGAGAAACGCTATGCTCCAGCGTGGGAGTTTTAGCGATTCCGTTGTCGAGAGACCTTTAAATTTCTGTGTCATACTAACTCGCCCTAACCTCGGATGTTTAGGGGATTGTCGCTACCCAAATGTAGAGTTGTAGATACTCTAACTCCTAGAGCATTTGTTGGCAATCCTTTAGAAATCCCTATAGTTATAAGTCCTGCTTTATGTGTTGTCATTAACCTGTCTTATGCTTTGCTGCTACCGTCGAGGACCAACGCTTCCAAGGTATTTTATGTTCATAAATTATATATATTACATTAAAATTCTCATTAAAGCAGTCCTTGCTTGCAATAAATTATTTATTATTAATTGTGTAAGGTTTTTTAACGATTTTATTAACGTTAACGGCAGACATTATAATAATATGATAATTAACTAATATATGACTTTGTCTGCGTAGACTTACCTAGTAGTTTGAGTAGTCTCCTCCAAGCTTATTTGGTACTGAAACCCATCATTATTATAAATGATGGGTTTTGTTTTGAGTCTTACTTGAGAGACGTTTTGTACGAGAAATACAAATTTTCATCTCCTATTTCTATCTCGTCAAATTTCAAAATCGCTATATTAATAGCCTATATTATTAGAGTCAATCTTTATGCCAAAATTGGCTTAGTGGTTTAGATGTGAAAAGATAAGAAACGAACAGATTGAGTAACGGTCGCATTCAAAATATTGGTATGATATATGTACGATGATGTTAATACTAATTTATTGTTGATGGTGTTTTGATACAGATGAGCTGGGCATTAACAAGGACCGATACAAGAGTTTGGCCGACGAGATGGACTCCACGTTCGCCGAGCTGGCCGGATACTAAACACGCGCACTCCGCACCCAAAACACACATACATTCACAAACATTCTGTACAACACGCAACAGTCAACAGTACCTGCGGCCCTACGGTCGCCTGATAGTCACACAACACTACACAAACGGCCATACACGTGATGTAATGATATTTATTAATATTTTATGTAAATTTATTTACGATTTTCAATAAAATTAATTTATAACATTAGTTGTTTTCATTTCACCCAATTTATTTACAATAATGATTAATTACGAATTAGTTTATTACGGTTATTATTTATTATGGTATTAAATATACCTGTTTATATTATATATAGCATTAAAAGAAATGTCTAACTGTGGACATTTATAAAATAATATTTTTAAAAATAGTACCTAACCGTAATGATTATTGCATATAAAAAAAATCACACACCTTGTTTACAATTCTATTATATTATAAAGATTTTCAAGAATTTATTACAGTTAATATATTAGGGTAGGTAGAACAAAAAGAGTCAAAGTCAAGTCAAAGTCAAATTCATTTAATCATATAAGATATACTTTTGCCACTTATACTCGACGTAAAAAAATAGGTGTCAATATTTGTTATTTAAATTAAGAAGACATTTTAAATAGGTACTTAAATAGGAAATCCATTTAACAAATTGAAACTTCTCAATCCATTTGTCAATTTGAAATTGGAATCACCGGGAACATAAAAAGGGTAAATCGTTATTTAACCTGTCACCTGTCAAATGACGTCTTTCCTGTTAAAGATGGCTGCTAAACGCATGCGAGGAGACGAAGGTGTACCACGCATGCGCGCTAGCTTCTAACTCTAATCGATAGTGCAATCGTCAGTTCAGACAACAGCCTGTTGGGCCCTCCTGGGTTCCTCGTTAAAATTATCAAATAGACTATTTGATAGGGTTTTTTGCGTGTCGTTGTGAAGTAAAACAGTCAAGGTGTCGGTGTCCAGCAGCGTAATCCCTGGTGCGATCACAATGAAGATGCTGGCACCGCAGGATGGACCTGATATCACTCCCGTTGATTCATGTGAGTATAACAACATCACTTTTCTATTAAAACCCAATCACAAAAATAGTAATATACCTATTATTAAAGGACTTGTAGCATATATAGTCAATTATATACGGAGATATCAATATTGAGTAGACTTTACTTGTTACTACAATTAATTTCATAGAGAAAGAAATTAGTTGATTGACGCGCAATAACATCTTTATATTTATAATGAATTTGTAATTGATGTATGGTTAAAATTAATGTTACTTTATATTCTTAATCATAAATAGTAAGATGACATAATTGTTATGGATAAAATATAACAACGTGAGTCATTGATATTTTTTATTATTATATTTTTACAATTGGCAAATAATATTAACATTAACATATTGTAAATTGATTAACTATATAGGTACTTATTACTTATTAAATCCTAATCCTAAACCGCGAGTAATTACTAATCAATTTGTTTTAAAGTAATAAATTAGATGGTTTTTTTTTATTTGTGATAATGGAATGGTGCCTAGGCTAACGATATATGTAGGTGGGCCATTAGTGGAGGATGATCAGTATGAGATCAGATCAGTTAGCCCATCGTGACAAATTCGCCAGGAAGGAGCTTGACGATTTTCAAGGAAGGCCGCGTATTTTAGGACATCTTTCCTAAACTTAAGTACAGATAATAGTTGTATTATGTACAAAGTAATGGGAAAAGTCTAATTAAATTAAATAAGAAAATAAACATTTTGTTGAATATTGAAAAGGAAGTGTCTGGATACGTTTTCTATCTAAGGCATAATTGGAAATGCACGCTTTAGAGTATGAATATCTCAAGGACTATACTGACTCATTTCCATCCTAAGATTAATTAATAACAAATATTGTAAGCATTTCATAAAGTTTTAGTTAAATGAATCATTAGTAAGATATTTTCTCACAAGAAAACATTATACATCGTTAATTGTTACAAAAACATCATCGACTTGGAATCGATTAAATACTCTCATGATAAATATTAAGAACAAATACATAATACAATGTGTTAATTTCACAAATTACAGTAAGTACGTAACGTAACAAAATATTTTAATCAACTGATTAAATTATTTGAAAATATGTTAGTCAACGTTTCGATGACTAGAATTAAAATCTCCATAGAATTTTACAAACGAAGGAATAATTAACAATAACCGTGAACAATTCATACACACTAGCCCCACGCTAAGCAGAACTTGTGTTATGGCTATTTAACAATTGATAAATATACCTAAACACATATTTTATTTTTTAAATATTATACTTTATAAACATACACAGAAAATATCGACACCAATACAAACAATCATAACCATGAATACAAATATTCAGAGTTAAGAGTCAAACCCGACCGTTAGAGAGAAGGCGGTGTGCTAAAGATAGAAAATGCACCAATCCACTTTTAAAAACAATGCAGAATGCCCTTCAGGGCCTTTTGTTTTCAAGAAGATACTGTAACGTCAAGAGAAGCATCGTATGTCATGACGAAGAAGAAACGTCTTAAGTAATTAAAAATATATAGAATACTGAATATTATGTTTGCCTGTATTTACCCCCAGGGGCGGAACTATAATGGAATTAAGTAGTTTTATTTGGGGAGGTTTGTAGTTTGACGTGACGAGGGATAAAAGTGGGCGAGTCACCCGGTCGGTTATAAAGCCATCACTCAACTACACATATATACTTACAGTATTGTTTTAAACGGAAATTTCTATTACTTAAATTAATCAACCGTAATGATTATTGCATATAAAAAATATGTCATAATATCACAGATAACGTAATATTACAGAGATTATAGAGATAGACTAGATGAAAACTGAAAAATGAAATGTGAAATGTGGGTAGATATTTCTGTAGTCATCGGTTCACAAGGAATATGAAAGGTAAGCAAGGCATAGATTCGTATAGCTTTGTTCATATTGTGTTTAATAAATATAGTAAATAAAATTTGCAAAAACAAGTAATTTTTATTTTAAATCAACATTTAAAATAAATTAACAAAACTCTGTAAACTTCTTTGTTTGAAGCACTCTCTACTTTGGCAGATATTTAAAACCTTTTAATAAATTTAATTGCTTTATCCGAAAATCTTTCCCATTCTTAATCGTCAACTGGAAGTAAATAAGTACTTATTTTATTCACTTTAAAAAAAAACATAGAACAAAATTCACTTAAAAACACAATCTGCCTACATACAGATCTACTAAAATACTGCTCACCATCTTTACGAAGAGCCCTTCGCTGCACCCACTTTCCACAATTGTGACAATGTTTACCAAATGCAAGGAGATTCGCATATTAACAAATTGATACAGGTATTATAAAACAAAAGACCAAACGAAGACACAACCAATGAAATATTTTATGAAAAACTTACGATTTTCGGCATAATGTATGTAATCCAAACAAATTAAATCACTATGCAAAACTAAATGACAATGACATTTGAACTAAAACTTCTAATTTTCTGGTTATGGTTATAGTGACTGTCTGGTCTTCCGCACCCCTCTAGGGAGGTGAAGTTTGGGGTATCGGGGACCCCTTTGTCCTGGCATCTACTAGCCACCCACAACAACCCCCGGGGGCTAGATCAAAGCCCTTAGGGCAAGTTTACATAAAAAAAAGAAATAAAGAAAAACTACTTAAAGCTTACTACACGTTGTGCCATACTTGTGGACAGAAGTTATTTTTTCATTCTTTTTTTACTTAGTCCGCGCGACTCTCAGGGACTTGCTGAGTTCCTAGTTCTGTCGCTCTTTCAGTACAACGACGTGGTCCACCACCGTCCTTTTCCCCTTCTTCCTATCCATATCTTCTTCCTTTCAACCTTCCCTCTCGTCCCGCGTTAGCCATTTGCTATGCCCCCACTCTGGGGTCGAGACCCCATAAAAATGCGGGGTGCGGGGCGACAGGGACACCAAGTAGCTAAGGACTTAGTTTGTAAGTGCTATACTTGGTTATAGTTTGTTTTTTAATCCCAGAGACTAAATTGACAGGTTGAAATGTCAAATTTTCAAATAATGTTACCACATGTAGTGGGGTAGTGGTGTACCTGCGATACCGATTTGTTTAATCGGAAACTTTTATTTTAACAAATTAGTTTTAAAGCTGAATATGACGTTTCGACGTATTTTTGTCGCAGCATAAAAATATATTTTTGTCGTTTCCGTACAAATAGTAATTTTACAGTATTAATCTACAAACCAACATTTTTTTTCTTACAATCAGCTAAATAATTTAAATAGTTTCATAATATATGACACAATGAAAAGGTCATTTGTTTTATAAAAAAGGCAGTTAGTCTTTATTTTAGTGAAAAATAAGAAAATTCTATTTTGATACAACAACCATATATTTATTAATACTTGACATTTATTATTAATTGACATTGACTTTAATTTTTGTAATTTATATTGTAAAACTTTAAGTTGGGCTAAAAAGGACTTGTATCCAGAGCCGTAAAACAAATTAATAAAAAAAAAATTACCAAATTTGTCTCTCAATCGGCCAATTTCAGGTTTTATGAAAAAACATATACACACGATATACGATACTCGATTATATCATAAAAAAGTGTCAAGAAACAATATTTCCGGCAAGATCTTTTTACATTATGTTATCTGTGGTTTTACACTGTCACAGTTCTTTGTGGTGGATACCTTATTGGCGCAAACGCACGCGATATGTTGATTGGTTGTTAGCTAGTGAAATGAAAAGATGGCGACTGGGGTTTGTTTGTCAGTGTCATTAGAATTTAACGAAATACTCCATAATCCGAATTTTGCGGATATATCGATTCGAAATCAATATTTTTTTATGTTTTGTTATTCACATAAGGTTTCGTTCGAGTCTACCGTACCCCTTGACGAAATTATTAATATAGATTTGAGAGCGAGAGAGAGATAGATTAATTAGATTTTTTGTTGTCATGATCAGTAAATGAGGAATTATTATTCAATCTGTATTTTTCGTAAAGGCAACATTTTATTGATTTGCAGTATGTTTTATTTTAATTTGTTTTTTTTTACAAAAAATACAGTAGATGGATTATCTACTGTATTTTTTGTAAAGACTCTGTTTCCAAAGGTCGCCTGGAAGATTTTGCATTAGCATATACATAAGACGCCTTTTGTTCTTTTATTTTGAATATAATAGTTTTATTCATGTCCTTTATATGTTGGTGCCATAAAGTGTAATAAATAAAATATATATATTGAAAAATCAGAAACATATGAGGTGTGCGTATTCGGGTCTTGTCACTAGTAGTATAATATAATAGCAGCACAGAAGATACTAAGCGGAAATATGTAGTCAATTACCAAGGTTACTTACTTATTACATGAGATAGATCCATTTAGTAAATTAAGTAGAAACAAGAAATGTTGTCATCCTACCGGTTCTAGGAGTGAGATGGTTATGACAGGGGATGATAAATCTACTTAGGACCACTTTAGGGTTGATAAGCTTTAGTGTGACTTGACCGTATTTATATCACCTAGTTATAATTTCTTTCTACCGTGAACATGCATAGCTATATACGTCTATATAGACTGTGGTTCAGTGAGTACGCATAATAACAGGTAGGTATTTTTTCTAAAAGGAAGGCCTACCTTTAACAAAAAAAGTTCTGGCATCTGATCTCAACAAAGTAAAAAGAAAGAATATTAATAATTCGTCACAAGTTCGTGGTTTTATAACAAAGGTATTTTTTGATATATAAAAGGAAATTCCAGATCATGTTCTGAATAATAATATGCATGATAGTGAACAAAGTTCCTTTTGTAACCTTTTGTACATAAATATTAGTATTATTAAATTTTCGTTACGCTTTTCTTAAACGGGTATATATTCAATATGTGTTCATAATTAAATGTTGTATCTAAGAGATGGTATCTTTATAATATCGGAATCTACCTTTATCAATTTTACGTCTCCTATCTCATTTGTTCTGAATGAGTTTGTTTGCATTTTCCATATTGATTAGGTTT